AGAGAGAGAGAGAGAGAGAGAGAGAGAGACTGAGTCCTTCACTCCACTCACTCACCCAGCACCCAGAAGCCCCCTGCCTGTCCCGGGCCAGGCCGCTTACCCAGATGATGACATCACTGCGGGCGCGGTCTAAGCGCATCTGCAGACGCGCAAGCTCGTTGTTGTGCTGCAGGATCTCATCGTCCTTCTCCTCCATGTAGTGCGCCAGCCGCGCCTTGGCACGCTCGATCTTCTCCTGGCCCTCCTGTGCTGACTGCATGAGGTCATAGTGCATGCTCACCAGAGTCTTGTAGCGTGCCATCACCTCGTGGATCTCTTCGAACTGTATGGGGGAGTTCGGGTCACTCACTGCAGCTCTGGGAGACCAGCGCAGCTGCCGCTGCTGCCCGCCAACTCCTGGCCTAGACGCCGTGGCCTACCACAGAGGCCCTGGGCCAAGGTTAAGGGGTAAGAGGCCATGAGGATGTTGCAGTCCCACTGTTGCTGCTTCTGGGTTGGTATGGACCATGGGCCATGTGTTGGGGGCGCATGCCACTGGACTTGGGGTTCTCAATCTTGACTGCACGTTGGGGAGCTTTAAAAAGGACACCTGGCAGGCTCCATCCCCAAAGATCTGGATTAATAAACAGGTATGAGGTGGTTCCTGGTATCTGAATTTTGCAAAAGGCCACCTAGATGATTCTAGGTTGAGAATTGCTGGTGGGGTGGGGAGGGTATATGGGGGAATGCATTTTGAGATGTCTCCCAAGACAATAATGATCCTAGTCAACAAGAATGTACCAAGAACCACGTTCAAGTGAGGAACTATGCTAAATGCTAGGCTCAGAGCAGGAGATAAGAAAACCAGACTCTGCTCTCCTGAAGCCTACAGCTTGGGGTGGTGTGGAGGGAGAACAGATAGACAAGTAAATAGTCAGTTACAGCACAGAGTGATAAGCCCTATCTATGACTGGGGGATGGGTCTGGATGGAGGCTGTAGAGGTACTATCTTTAATGTGGTGCTCTCTGGTATTTGCTCAACATTTGCTGAGATCTCCTTCCAGCAGGGGCTGGAGAGGGTACCAGTGGGCCAGAAGGCCAGTTAGGCTCAGCTGCCTTCTCCAACATGGTCTAGAGCCATGCCGCACTGGCCCTAACATGCAGGCCCCACTCAGCAGAAGAGAAGCCCTGAAACCCTCCCTCTTTAGAAGGCGGTGTGAGTACCAGTTCCAGGATGCCAACTCACCTCCCCAGGGGTTTATCAAAGCGTGCCTTCCAGCCACCCAGAGGATACCCCTTGAGCACTTTGTTCATCTCATGACATTTCCAGTGATAGATTTGGTGTTCTGGGAACTGCCCTGCTGGCCTTTCTCCAAAAATGCCCCTATGGGGAAGGGCCACCCAACTCAGCATTGCAGGAGGTGGGAACAGCCAGAAAAGGTTTTCTGAGTGAAAAGATGGCTAAAATGAGACCAAAGGTATAAACAGATAATAGCCAGGCAAAGGCAGGTGGGGGAAGGTGAGGAAGTATTACAGGTAGAAGGAATATTCCAGGTAAAGATGATAGGGTGTGTGTGGCATATTCAGGATGTTCAATAGAGTTTAGTATGAATGGCCTGAGTTCGAGATGAGGAGGGAGAGATCGACCTGGAGAACTAAAAAAAAAAAGTGCCCAGTCAACCTTGAGAAGGAGTGTGGGCTTCATCCATTGAAGGATTGTAAGAAGCACAGAGATAATTTCATGTTTGTATTTCTGAAAGTTCACTCAGCACATGATGCAGTGGCATACAAGTTAAAACAAATGGACTATGTCAGAGTGACCAGGAGCACCTCTCCAAAATGTAATGCTGATGGCAAAAGGACTCAGGTGCCAACTTGAAGAGGCTCCCACTGTCCAAAGATGGTACACTTTGAATATCAGTAAGAAAAGGTGCAAAGGATTAAAATGCATCAAATATGTTTTAAATCCATGAGTTCATAGTGACAATATCAACATTACAGGTCACTTTTTACAGGATACTGGAGAACCAACTCATTATTCTGAAAACTGTAATAAAGAATCAAGCATTTAACTAACTGCTTCCTTAAGACCCACATAGTGATCAAATAATTGATGAAGGGAAAATTCTCCTTAGGAAGTCCTTTTCTGTATGGTAGTATTCAGCTGTATGTGAATAAGGGGTGATAGAACATTTCAGCACCCTAGAAGGCTCTTTCTGCTCCCTTCAGTCAGTATCTGCCCCCTACCACCAAGGAAATCAGAATTGTGACTTCTATCACCAAAGACTCATTTTACCTGTTTTAAACATATCAGTGGAATCATACAGTATGTCCTCTTTTATGTCTGGCTTATTTTGATCAGCATAATAATGTCTGAGAAACATATCAACCAAATGCAGCGTGGGGACCTTGTTTGGACCCTGACTGGAACAAACCAACGGACCAAAAAGCATTTCTGCAATAATTGGGGTAATTTTAACATCGACTGGATATTTGATATTAAGGAATTACCATCAAATTTTTACTAGGTGTGACAATGGTATTGTGACTATGTTAAAAGACCTCTTCCCTTTTCGAGATAAAAAAAAATATTATTTGCTTCAAAATGGCAGAGGTAGGAGGTATGGAGGATATGACTATGAGTTGATAATTATTGGAATGCGGTGATGAGTAATAGGCATTGAATAGACTATGTGCTCCACTTTTGTGTGTGTTTGAAATTTTCCATAATAAAAAGGTTATAAAAATATGGATCAGAAAAAGCAAGTCACAATAGGACATGTACAATACTATTCATAGTTTATGGATATGTCATATATTGCCAAAGCAATTAAAACAAGCATGTGAATAAGAAATTAGAATTATCAGCGATCTGGTTACCTCTAAGGAAAGGGGAAGAAGAATGAGGTCTGGAAGGGGGGCACACAAGGGGTTTCAATTACCTGTGGTGTTTTATTAAAGAAAAAAGAGTTGAGGGCAAATAGGGGAAAATATTAAGGTTTGACAAAACTGTGGTGAGTACTTGTGTGCTGTTATGTATTTCTCTATATTTTTCAGTATGTTGAAAATACTTTGAAAGAAATAAAGAAAGAAGGAAAGAAAGAGAGAGGGATCACGCTGGCCGTAGAACGCTGGACAGGCTGGTGGCCAGGAATCACGCAGAGCCAAGCTCCAGATGAGGTACATTGGTGGTCTGGATGAGGAAGGGGCAGGGGCTGGATTCCAGAAATACTTAGGAGTCAGAATAGACCAGAGCTGCTGATTGATGGCTGCGGGGAATGAGGGAGGAGGAGGGGTCAAGGATGAGGCTCCTTCTGGTGAGGCTGTGGGTGGGCATTTCATTTACCAGCACCAGACACGCCAGCAGCAGGCTGCCATGAGATGAGGTGTAGACTCAGTAAATTAGACGTAGTGGCCTGAAGCTCAGGAGGGAGATGCACCAGCGAGATACAGGCCAATCTCCTCGGTTCCAAGACATACATTTTACCAGCTCTGAATTTGAGTCATATCTTATCATTTATCTGCTGCTTTAATATAGCAGTCTTCCCTCACTCCCCCACCAAAAAACCCAAAAAACCAAAACCCAATTATTAAATGTACACACTTTATCGTACAGTAAGTAGTACCTAAGATTGGAGGAAATAACACAGATTTAGGACACATGCATACATAAATTAGGTTAGTGGTTCTATATGGAAATTGCTGGGACTTTAAAAAGCTCTGCATCCTTTGTCTCTCCGCACCTGCCACAGGACATTGATCCACATCTGAGAGGGCGTATCTCATACTTCACCCTGCCCTGGTGAGGGGCCCTACCTGCTGCTGTCATGTGAGGGCATGGGAGAAACAGGGTGGATAGCCTCTGACACGGGTGGCATCCACAGGAGGCCCAAGGAATCGATCGGGGAGAGAAGTGGAGGGTCTCAGACAAAGACATGAGGAACGTTTAAAGACAGAGCTAGGAAGAGGAGGCCCCAGAGAAGTCTGAGGAAGAAAGTAGGAAGGGGACAGAGGAGACCCAGAGGAAAGGGCAAAGGGATGTTTAAAAGAGGAGAGTCAAGAGTGTCAAATACAGTTGACCCTTGAACAACTTGGGGATTAGGGGCACTGATCCCCCATGCAGTGGAAAATGCACATATAACTTTTTTGTTTTGTTTTGTTTTATTAGTCAGTGAATCCAGAGTCTTTAAGTTTTATTAAGACACAAAGCCCATGGGAACTTTCCAGGGTCACAATAATTTATTACTAGCTAGAGTCCACATATAACTTTTGACTCCCCAAAGCTTAACTGCTAATAGCCTACTGCTGACTGGAAGCCTTACTGATAACAGAAAGTCGATTAACACATATTTTGTATGCTGTATACTATATTTTTATAATAAAGTAAGCCATAAGGAAGAGAAAATACATTTACGGTACTATACTGTATTTATCAATACTGTAAGTTTATGTCTGTTTTAGACCACATGGTTCATCTGTGAGTTTTCTCAAACTGTTTATTGAAAAATAATCTGTGTATAAGAGGACCTGAACAGTTCAAACCTACATTGTTCAAGAGTTAACTATACTTCAGGATGCATGAGTAGGAAGAGGGCACAGAAGTTCTCTTAGCTTTGGCAACTAGGGGACTTTAGGAAGAGCAATTGCCAGTGGCATTGTGAGGCCCACAGAGGAGTGGTTAGAAGCAAAGGGTCTGCCACTTACAGGCTGTGAGACCCTGAGCAGGTTATCTAATCTCTCTGAGCCTCCATTGCCCGCTCTGTAGCAGGGTGATATGATGGATGGCTTTCCTCTGGGAGCTAATGAGCAGACTGAGGGAAGTTACACACCTAGCCCCGGGCCCAGCACATACGAAGCTCTCAAGCTCTGCATGAGGCTGAGTGTTTTCCAATTTCTCTCCCTTCCTCTCCTCATTAATCGCAACAAAAACACCAGGGAGGAGGGGAAGCAGGGGTATAAGTAGGCACCGTCCTGACACAGACAAAGCTTATGGTTGGTGCTGCAGACAGAAGCCTCATTCCCCAACGCACACAACACACCACCCATACAGAGGCTTTATACAGCTCACTCACACAGACACCAAGATACACTGCCCGATCCCCAGCCTTTACCAGGGGCCTCTTCCAGCTGCCCTCCAGGGCTGGAGGCATGTCCTCAGGGTAGGGTGACCACCCTTGCAGAGCGTCTCCAAGCCCCTCATAACCCCAGGCCCTGGGGAAGGGGAGGAGGAGCTGAGGAAGGCAACCCCCGCCCCCACTCACCTCGGAGTTCTCCACCACCTTCTCCAGGTACTTGTTGAAGATGGAGTAGTCCTGCAGCTTGCTGCTCAGCCGCTGGTGCTCCAGCTTCAGGGCCGCCATCTCCTGCTTGGCCTTGGCCAGCTCCTGCATGCGCTGCCTCTTGAGTTCTCGCTCCTTGTTGGCTTTCTTCAGGGCTCGGATTCGTTTCTGGTCGTTCTCCTGGGGCCGGGGAGGTGGCACCTATCAAGCACTTGCCCTTCCCTCCCTAAGGCCCAGGCTGGTAGTGCCCCTACAAGGCCTCTGTTTGCTGAGCTCGGGCCATCCTGAAGACGGGCAGGGATCACTGGGGCAAGCAAGGAGGCCCAATTTTTCCCCCAATTTGGTACTTGGGTCTCCATTTCTCCAACTGTAGCAATGAGAGGCAGTAGCCCCCCTCATCCTTCCAAAAGCTGGGGCAACAGCGTTTGAGCTATAGGAAGCTGAGATAGGAGATGGGCCTGATCCTGAGGCCTGGCAAGGCCATTCTGTAGAGCATGTGGCTAGTAGCTCAGACTGGCATCAGGCTCATGCAGGAGGAGACAGTGCAGGCAATTCGATGCCCAGAAAAAGACATGCGGCTCTGTTACTGCAATCAGGCTGACCCGCCACCCCCCCTTCTCCTTCCTTCTGCAAAACCCTCTCCTCAAGATTAGGGGACAAACCCACCCCTCACAATGAACTTGTGTGGCTTCTTTGCCTCTTCAGGGGCTCCTGTGATTCCACTGGATGGGCATGCATGGTGGTAGCATTTGGAGGATACTTGGAGGCATATGGAGAAGGCGCACGGAGGATTAGCACTGTGCCTGGGAAGCCCAGGAAGGGGGGGCCCTTAGCCAGTGGTTTTCAATTCCAACTGTACACCACAGTCCTCTGGGGAGCTTTTAAAAAATACAGTTGCTTGAGCCTGACTCATGCCTGCTGAAAGCAAGGAGAGGAGGGTCCCAGAGGTCTATATTTGTAATAAGCTTTCCCAAATTCTGACGCTGCTGGTCCTCTGGAAGTCATTTGGAAAATCCCTCATCCCCAAATCTTCTGCTGCCCCAACCACTCCATTAGTGTTTCCCTGGCCAGTAAGAAGGACTGGACCTCTGAAGAATATGCCTGGTCCACCAGCTTCCTTTCCCACCTACTTTAGGCGCAGAGCAAGACAGAAGATGCTTATGAGCAGGAGTCTCCTGTAGCAGAGGCCAGCAATTACTCCCTGGAGCTGGGCCAGGCCCTTCCTCCCTGGAGAAATCTGGATTTTAAAGTGGTTAACTCACTCCTCAATGGACCAATTGAGAGGAGTTGTCTCAGAATGGACTCGGTGCTTAGTCTTTCAACCACCCCCGCCCTGGTCCCTCAGTGCCAGGAGGGAGGAGTCGGGGGGAGGACTAAAATCCTGTCTGATTCATCTTTGTATCTCCAAGTGCCTAGCTCTGACTGTACGTTATTCATTCATTCATCATCGTCCATCCATTCATTCATTCATTCATTGGATACATTGTATGTGCCGGGTTATGGACAAGGATGTGGTAAATGGCAATCACAGCAATCTAGAAGGGGCAGAGACTGACAGGTGAACAAGAAATTACCAACAGCAATAAGTGGAGGCATAAAGGGAGAAGCCCCAGGCATTGTTGAGCATGGAAGAGACATCTAACCCAGGGTGAAGAGTCAGCAAAAGCAAAGAGAAGTGGAAGGAGGAGGGTGGGGGGACCACAGAGTGTGGGTGCCCCTGGCCTGCTGCAGCAAGCCACACCCCTTCATACCTGGATGAATTGCTCAAACTTCTGAATGTGGGCCTTCAGCTGGGCCTCCTTGATGCCCAGTTCCTCCCAGCGCAGGTTCAGGGTTTCCATTCTGCGCTGAAATGTCTTGGGGTGGGGGGAACAGGGAGGTCAGGAGAGCCCCTGACACAGGTACCGAGGAAGACCCCAGCATCCTCTGCCCCATTGCCTCTATCCCCAGGCCTCCCACTTTCCAGCCCATGCCTGGTTCAGAGAAGAGCATCCCAGGACACTGGTACCCCCAAGACTTGGATCATTTCTGTCTCCGCAGAGGGAACAAACCACCATCACACAGGACACCTGGCTGTAGTCACTGCTACCCACAAAATGAAGGGCTGTCCTCAGACTCTCCCAGACCCTGCGGCCCTTCCCTTACTCCACGCCGTAATCCCCCACCTCCTTCTTCTGCAGCATAGCATGGTGCATGACCTTGACCTCCTTTCTCTTCTCCAGTAGCCGGATGGATGGGGACTCTGGCTGCTCCTCAATGTTGGGGAATTTCCTGCTCAAGACATGGGCAAGAGGGGCCCGTGGGCACCTGGGGCAGGCTGGGACTGGGAGTAACCCATGGAGGTACCCATGGGGGGCAAGGAGATCCTGTCCCAATGTGAGTGAAAGAAATGGTGTGTTGAGAGGGAGGGAGAGCTGTGCTGGGTCTGGGAAGCAAGCTGACGCAGGGTGATAAGGGATGGGACCCGGGTGATAGGAGTGGATTGGTGCCAGGGTGATTTGGGGCACTGGGCTGTAGGAATAGGAGGGGAAGGGTTGGAAGGTGGGGCATGGGTGGGTGTGGGGGATCCCAGGCACGGGGGTGGGGGGGCCCAGACCCTCAGACACTCACTGCAGCAGTTGTAGCAGCCGCTCCCCATACTGCAGCCGGAAGTACTCAGCCAAATCTTCCTCCTCCATGATACCCAGGCTCATGGTGGCAGTGACCTAATTAATGGCCCAGGCAGCTGACACTTTACAGTGAAACAGTGGGTGGTAGAGCCACAGGTGGCTCAGGGGTGGTGGTTGGGCTCTCTCTTATCGCTTCCTCTTGCTTTTCAGGGTCCACAGAGGGTGTGTCTGAGAGACTCTAGGAAAGATGGCTGGAGGCAAAGAATCAGCACCTCAGGATAATGTGTTGGGGAGGTGAGAGCTGGTTACCTAGCAACAGGTTGCCTGGGTTCTATGGACCATACATGGAACCCAAGCTTTGCCCTCTGATCCCTTTCCCCATTGACCCCACTCTTGCTGGGGTCCTACTCTCTGCTCCTGCATTTATCCCTCAGGAACTTTGGAAAGAAGTTAGGCCTGATTAGATGCGGATACTCAGGGCTGTATGACAGGGTCTGGGTGTCACGGCTGAGAAAGGGGGTTTTGGTAGAGGGGTGTCCTTGGGAGGAGGCCCTGCCCCTGGGCCCTCCCTCCCCCAATCAGAGATGAGTGAAAGTGAGGGTGGGTACTGGGCCTGGGACAGATGGCTGAGAAGAAAAGGAGATGATAAGGAAGGGATGTGGGATGTGCTTCGCTGAGGCAGGGGTGGGGGTGGACAGAGCAGCCTGGAGCCTGTGGGAGGATGGAAGGGGGCCTGAAGTTGAGAACCCACTGATGGGTGAAGGACGTGTAGGGATGTGTGTGGGGGTGGGGTGGAGTGGGGGATAGGCAACAAGCCTGAGGACTAAAGAGGCTGCCCCCCACCCCCGGGAATATGAAGGGGGGTCCAGGGCAAGGCCCCTTGGAGGATAACAGGGTCAGTGCCATCTTTTATGGTTGGCAGAATATTAAAATATGAAGAAATGCCAAACCATGGCAACATAAATGTCATGTATTTTATATGTTGACTCTATGACGGCTTCCTTCCTTGATTCTCTCATTTGGTTTGAGGTCCAGCTTCTAAGTCTGAGACCCAGTGTATGAGGTGGGCGCCTTGGGGTCCTGGCCTGGAGGTAACTGCCCTCCGTGACCTTGGGCTCTCAGCTGCCCCGCCCAGGCTCCTGGGCTCCGCTCTGCGTTCTCTGCCTCCCCTGCCCAAGCCCACCGCGCGGCCTTGCTCCGTTCTCGGTCTGGGAGGGGGACCCAAGGTGGAGAGGAGGGGTCTCCGGCTGGGATGGCGTCCGGAGCTCAGCAAGCCCAACCCCTCTA